TTATTATTCAGGAAGGAAGTCTGGGGGGGGGGACTGGAAAAGACTTTGTACAAATATTTTGAGCTCGTGTAACAAATGAGCTGCTATATTTGAAAATGGTAAAGGTTCACTTACTAAAAAAAAAAAAGGAGTTAACGGTCATTTTAGTGGGATTTTTTCACATAGTAAACGAGAGAGTTTTTGCTATAAAGGGTTATCGCAAAAATATTTTTTTAAGTGATATAAGTCCATTCCTAATAATTATAAATAAAACTTACAAAGAAATAAGTTTTTAAATTGAATTCATTTTACTTTCACTTATCTAAAAGTAATTTACGTAATTTTTTTAACTTTAAGTAATCGATTAGCGTCTGGCAATATTTTTTAAATTAATTCAAATGCAAACCCTCAAATATCTCGACACGTTGAAAAATGGACTTGTTCCATTTTCAAATATAGCAGCTCAAATATAGATTGTACAATAGCGAACTTGCCAGAGAGAGCAAAATTGTTCGTTTCCCCAAGAAAAATATTTGTCCTTTACAGAACTTCATAAGGTCGATGAATATTAAGAATAAAATTCTAGAAATGGTATTCGAAACATTCCGATGTAATTAGACAAGAGACAAACTATTTCCAGCCAGAAACGTAGGAGAGGCTCCATTAAGACTGTCCAATTTGTCTTCGTTTATTATACACGCAAGGTCTGCCAATTGCTCTTACGTAAAACCAAAAAGCAGAAATTCCGAGGTCCGAGCAATGTTTGAGCGTCAGTGGTCGAACAATCGATAAACAGATACCCCGGGGATTCCCCGGTCCGATATCTGATCAACGTTTAATGGTCGAGATTAGCTCGAAATCGGCCGAGATTCATGCAAATCGAGGGTCCGTCCTTGAACGCGGAGGATCGATCGCGTGGGGCTCGTTTCGAAAGTCCCTCGACGGGATTAAGGGGTTACGCCACCTTGACGGCAGCAAAACACTGGATATTTACAATTTCTTTAATTAAAACTCTCTACTCTCCCCATCGTGGCGAATTTTTTAACTTCGAAGTGAAACGTTTTCGTAGACATTGGACGCAAGCAGACAAAGTGACGTGGATCGTCGGTACCATTCGAAAATTTGAACTCGTAGAAACTTGATTCACGTTTTCGTTGCCATGTGTTATTTTTAAGGCTCCTGTCGTTTCCTCCTGTTGAATATTTCGCTAAATAAAACGCGGATATTTTAAGTCTTCCGCTGAGGTAACATATTTAAGAAACAATAACGAAATGCAAACGCAAACGTTTTACGAAAAAGGTGCGATTGACGAGGTCTACTCGAGTCTACGATTCTACAACGACTGCAAAATGTACAAAGTTACGCTGTTCTTTCCCTGCAGTTCCTCTTTTCGAGAATTCTCCGACATTCCTCTTCCGCGCGACGATAGACAAAGTTTTTCGCCGCTCAGGTACGACCCAGTCATGAAACTTAGGTCCGAACTGAACCGTTTCGATCGCTATCGAGAGTCTCGAACCAGAGAAAATTTTCTCGCAAAAATCAAACACTTGCATATAATAATATAAAGTAAAGGTTGCGCGACTCGTTGAGCCACGATAGGGCACGGGAAAATCGCTCGGCACTTTTCCAATAATAATAGGAACAATCACCGCCAACTATTCGCCTAGTCGAGATCCCATTGCGGGCCTGCCAAGGTCTCCCATCGGGTATCGAGCAAATAACAGCCGGGCACCTATCGTGCTAAACCGTACCCCTTCGGCCAAATGACACGCGTTTCCCACAGTAGACACGGGGACGGGAGCTTCGTACTGAGTCAGAGATCACCCTTAAAACGTAGATCCACGTAGAACGTGGTCCCGCGTTCGTGACTACGTTCCACGTGCACGCCAATCTAAATCATTCGACACGGATTTTGCCAAGAACCTGGTCGACTCGTGCTCCGCAGAGACTGTGGATACACGACTCCTGGTGCAACGTGTGCGTTCCTTGACAAATTGAACGCGACCAGAAGGAATAGAAAGAAAAGAGAAGGGAGTACGGATTTAAAATCTCCAAGAGGGCGATCGTACAGGTTTCATCGAGAACTGCAGCGGCGACGCGCGCGGGATGGCTCCGTCGCGACGCTCGACTTTCCCGTAAGTGGATAGGGTCAGTGGATGCAGGGCAACGCGTTAGGTACGCAGAATCGGGCAGCCAGCATCCCGCGTTGCGAAACGTCGACGCTCGGGGCAGGGAAGTGGCGATTTCGCCAACACCGGAAATTGTGAGATCGGTACAACTTACACCGCGGACATACCGAAATGTTTTTGCGCCGAGTCGATTCCCACGAGGTGGACTCGCGCCCTGGGAGACAGTAGGAACCGGAAACGAGAGCACCGGCCAGCTACCTGCTCCAGAATCGCTTTCCAAAAAATCGCTGGTTGCGTCACGTTTCATTCCCTGTACTCTTACATTTCGCTTTCGCTCGATCGATTCTCGAGGGGTCGCGCTTTTATACTCCTTTTACTCGTTTACCTCCGATATCTCGTTTCGTCGGTCCTTCACTTTTTCGTCGTTTATTTTGAAAGGCTCCCGATATCTCCGACGGATATATCTCTATCGGTGATTAAATTCATCTTTACGTAACCAACGACGACAGAGTGTCGCGATCGTCGGTATTGCGACGTAACTCGTCGCGGTTAAATTCGACTCGGTGTCCGCGATGTTGCCTCTCGTCGATGGGAAAATGAGAATGAGGAAAAAGTGGAGAGAAGCTCGAACGATGGAGGAACGTGTTCCACTGGAACGTAAACAGAATTGCGTAACGAATCTGGTTTGCGATTGTTACTTTCCAAACTGTTACCGATACGCGAGTGCTGCCGATTACCCCTCGGAAATGTCGTAAATGAAAAAGAAATTCGAACCCGAAATTCTGTATGCGCGAGCGTTTACATGCATGGGAATTCTGGCCGTTGCGGTATCAGGGATCGCGAAACGATACAGCCTGCATCTACAGGCTAACGGCTCGACGACCCATCGAAGCTGCGCTATAAACCTTTTTATCGCTTGGCTACCAGCTGAGACCATTGTATTTAAATGGACGACACATCGACGCGCCAAATCCCTCAGATCGTCTCTCTTCGATCGACGATGGATTATATGCAACGAGACGGCTATCGGTTTAGCGTGTCGACGACCTGTTGACATTCTCTTGCGATCAAAATTAATCGAGTCTTGCGATTGTACATTCGTTTTCAATCGCACCGGATTAAATGGATTTATATAATATTTTACGGTCGCGAGCCGAGTTTGTTTACTTAACGAAACTATCGAATCTTAATCCGGTTCTTGAATATTTGTGCTTCGAGCTTTGAGCTTGACCTTTGAGTGCCAAGGAGCGATATATCAATAAAAAATCAATTTTTGCTTCACGAAACTAACGTCGATATCTAATGCACCTAGATTCAATTCCGCGCTTCATTTTTATTTCTTTGATTCGAATACCGTTAAACGTTAACGAAATATACATTTTCGTTTACAATCGTGCATCTTTACTAAAACTGTCTGGCATTTCTCGTATGTATGAATGTACGTATGAAAATTTCCTCTCCCACTCAAAGGTTTAAAACTTGTTAAACCTTTGCACTCGAGAGGTGAGTCTCGGTCATCACTAGGTTTTACGCAGTAAATCAACCAACAATAATGTTTGTTTACGTTTCATTTCTTTGGAACTCGAAGTGTCAATAAAATCGGTGCAGTAAAGGTCAGTAAAAGGTGCAGTAAAATCTGAAATTAGTTTGCGATCATGAATCCGGCTGCATCTTCCTCGAATGCAAAGGGTTACAACTTATTACTACTCATTTGCGTAAGGACGAATTCTCCAACAGCTCCGGAGACAGCTCTGGGTAGATATTGGGAAGTGCTCCACGTTTCAAAATAATGAAGAGGGCGATTATTGCTGCTCGTGCAACAACAACTGGACCAGTGGCGACGCTGAAGAGCGCTTGAGCAAGGTTCCCCGCGGATGACGACAGCGGTAGCCATAATAACCAGAAGCCAGCCGCGCAAACCACCGTCCTCGCGTGGGTGTAACTGGCCGGAATCAAAGCGTGCATTATCTTCGAAGGAGCTGAACGAGATTATTGCCCGAAGCTCTAGCGACCGCGTTGCGAGAGGCTGCGATGGAATTATGCAGCGATGCGCGTGAACGGGCAAATTGGAGCGAGGGCGAGCGACTCCGCCGCAGAAAATAGACCCGGCTAGCACCGTTCTTAAGATTTACGATACAACGACCCTTGGCACTGATTTCCAACCGCTGATTCCATCGTCGCGCAGCAAGATTTCGCGCAGATACACAGATATTAGGTGGACTGGAAACTAATGTCGTTTCTGCGAATCTCGATACTTATTCATCATTCATCAGCAAAGAAAAGACACGTATACTTATTACTAAAAGATTAATACTCTAAAATTAAAGCATGTTCATTCCGACCAAGAAAAACGCCAATCTCGCGCGGAAGAGTCTACCGTATAAGAATGCGAAGCGAAACGAAAATCCTCGGTTCGGGAAGAACGCAGGCGTTACCCGGAGGCGTGAGAGTTTCGATATGCATAATTTATGCACAACACTTTTCCGCCCTAGTTTTAGAAGCCAGAATAATAACTCGGCGTCGTAACTTTAAGAACAGAGGTTGTGACACGGGCCACACTCGACCGCCTTCGAAGCCGCGGCCGATTGCCAAAGATAGCCTAATTAGTACAGCGAGTGTGGAAGAAAAGGCTCGTTACGGCGTCTTCATTTTTCCCTCGTCCCACTTCTGCCCGTGGACACGGTTTGACTACGGCCAGTTCCACGGATTTTCATTGTGAGAGAGATGAGGCAGGTGTCGCAATCGCGCGTAATCTCGTTAACCCTAACAACGCGCGCGAATTACGAGCTTCCACGGGAGCGATTTGAATGCCGAAGTACGCGACTACTGTTTGCCTCGATGTTGCGTGCCACCTAGGAAAAAGTGCAAACCTTTTGTTCTTATCGTTCGCAGACGACTGATGGAGAAGGGGTCGTCGCAGCCGTGGCAGGAGACTCTTCGAGGAGCAATCGGCGAGGACAGATTGGACGCATCCGCGTTGAGGGAGTACTTCAGGCCCCTCGAGGATTGGCTGAGAACGGAGAACCTGAGGACGGGCGACGTCGTCGGCTGGTCTTACGGTAAGTGCTGCTGAGTCACTTTGGAGAATTGTTTCGTTGTTTTGATCTTTTTTTTTTTTTTTAAGTTGTATGGTACCCTGAAGAAGTCCTAGACCTTGAGGTCTGCTTCTTTGGATTGATAGATATATAATTATTCTCACTGTGAGTTCCTTACCTGCTAGCAATCGTGAGAGACCGTCTGGCACAGTGTCGGGCTCGACTCGAGTCAAAACCACTTGAAACTATCTAATGGTTTCATGCATATTGACATCGTTTATGCATTTATGTATGTTGATACCCACAGAAATATGCTAAAACGTGTGCTGAATACGTATAGTAGTACGATTGTATCAATATTTCATCGTGCACAAATGTACAAATTCTATACACGTTCAGTCATTGCAGGGTCGATTTCATGAGCAGATATCTATCCTTCTTTGGTTACAAAGAGCAGCAATCTATCTTAAATCTTCGTAATAAAATTATTTTCAATCTCCCCGTGTTACCTACCCGCTCCACCTACGGAAGTCCACTAAACCCGGAAGAATACCTCCCTGTCTCGAGTCACGCAACCATCGTCCACGTGGAACCCACGGCGTGAAAGAACTAGACCGACGAAACCACGACGATTTTAACGCGTCGGATGTATAACAGCCGATGACTTCTCACTTTCGATTCTTCGTATCGCGAAACGGTTGACTTTCCAATTCCGCGTTCGAGTGCCATGTCAGGCGTGCGATTCTCATTCGAGACAAGCGATTTTTTCCCCTCCCGCAATCAAACGCAAACAAGGAACCGATTCACGTGACACCGCGCGATCAGTACGGGGCTCCCCTGGTGCGCCTTTCATCGTAACTTGTTACAAATTATGCAACTTCCTACCGTAACAGATTGAAGGTTGCAGTTCCCACGTGCCAGTTACCGTCGAGCGCTACAAATATTCATTGTGTGACGACACTCCGCTGAATTACGATCCCGTTGTACGAAGAAATTATCGGGATTGCCGCGTCTTTCCCCGAGTCGTGCCTGTTCGGCTCTTGCCAAATTCCGCGCGGAAAACTCGCAACCGCCGTTGCACAAAACTGCCGCGCTGAAAAGCAAGAAAATTAAGGAAATCGAACAACAAAGATTTTCGGACTTTCAGTTTTGATTTTTGCAAGTTCTGACCCTTCTTAATCCGAAGGATCTTCGAATCCTCTACTTACCTATTTGTCTTTAGACAAAATACGCTTTAAACCAAAGCGCTTTAAACCAATGATTTCCAAACTCGACGCGTTGAGTCTCTTTCAAAGCTTCCTCCTTAACGTTTTGCTCGAATTTTGATGTTCCGAGACGCTTGTGGGCACCTTTTCGGAATTTTCGAGGCCTGTACGTCGCCTCGATCGTGGCTACTTCCGCCGTAAACCGTGGCGTAGGTATCTGGGCCCTGGCTGGCGAAGTTCTGGGCCCGTGGGACTGGCGAAATTGCGAAATCGGAGTGGAGCGGACGCGAGCATGTAAGATGTAAGAGGAAAGAGGAGAACGTCGATCCGGAGCGAGAAGCTAACAGTCGTGAGACACGTTCGACGATTCGACTCTCGTTTCCACTGCACGTTGCACCTTAAGGCCCGCCGCTCGAATTTGCACGTATGCTCGCGTGCGCAACTCGCAGGCCTTTTCCGTGTCCTCTCGCTCGAGTGTGAGAATCGGAGATGGGCGATAATCTCATCTGGATAGACGTTCCAAGTGGAAGATCGATCGATCGCGAATCAAATTTAAACGCTTGACGGTCTAGCAATCGATCAATGTTACTTAGAATAATATCTTAATATATAAAAACGTTGATACGTACGCATGTCTGACCATCACGGTTGAACTACTGAAGCTATCCTTACCTTATACTCACATCACATGTTCGTGTGGTGCTTCGGATTGTTTTTGTTTGTGTTAGACACTCCTATGTGGGATCTGTTTAGCTCAAATTCATACCATATAATATTTAAATAAAAAGAAAGTCTGGGCGAAATTTGGACTGGGGTGGAGATATTATAAAACAAGAACGGTATTCCACGATGGGTGAAACCACGGGGAACAGCTAGTCCTATTATAAAATGGTACCCAACATTTTCTAGTATTCTCCTGTGGTGGCACCTTCTATCCTCACCACCAGAGGGAAATCGCGATCCGCGTGTTTCTCAAACGCACTCGGTCCCGCCTAACATTCATATGTAAGCCATTCCATACCGACCCTCCCAACATCCCGGCATCCAAGACACAGGTCTGTTAGATAGCCTTACTGAAGAGTCCATTAGCAAACCCAGAACGAAATGCTCCCTTCTTCTTCGTTCGACTATAATCTTGCATTTCGAATCGCGTGTCATTCGAATGGATCCGCATTGACGGGATAAAAGGAAGAAATCGGTTCACGAACACCGACCAGGGGGGAAAACGGGACTGCTTCTTAGAAGCGATGGCGATGGAAAGCGGAGATGTACGTGACTCGCGCGCGTACCATTGCAGAGGAAGAAATTACAAACGGTTAGGTCGTATAATTTCTCTTTCGATCGCGATACCTGTGCGTGCCTTTTTCTTTCGCGTCGAAAGACGGCCTCAGCCATACCGTAGTCCCTCGATCCACAGCGCGAGTTTTGCTTTCGTTCGAGTCCATCGCTCTATCGATTTCACCCTCGTTTTCATTTTATCTTCGATTCCAACAAGATCGGAGGAAGAAACGAACCTCTCGATCTCTATGCAGACGTAACGCGCTAGAATAAGACAGGAAGGTCCGATCGAAAGGGAAAACCACCTCTCTCCGTTCCCCCTTTACCTCTCCCTTTACTTCCCCCCCGATAGGTGGGCCCAGTTTTTTGTTTCCGTCAATCTCGATCGCGGGATTCCAGAGTGGTTCATTTCCTATCCTTCGCCCTGCAGCACGAACGATCTCTGCGGCACGTTCTCCAAGCTCGCAATTTAACGATTCGCAGCCAGGCAAATGGCGAACGATTATCGGAACAACTTCTATCCGTCGACTATCCCAGGAATGTTTCCCCCTGCCGTTCCTATTTTTTTCACTCTACTCGATGTACCAACTCAGAGGAAAATCATCGATCCAGACATTTTCTACACCTTTAAAATCTTATGAAATAGAAATCCCTCGCGCACTAAATTCAATTGTAACATTGAGGGACGTTCCAAGAACGAACAGTCGAAGCACCAGTAAATTGCAAAATATCAATCCTTCAGCTTTCGTGCTTTAAGATTTTGAAATTGAAAATTCTAATTTACGATAGCCACGAATAATCTGATTGCAGATGGAGACTACTGCAAACGCAGCATAGAGACAGCGGGCCTGCAGGTCTACGGGAGCGGATTCTACGGCGTTGGCTCGACGCATACCTCGACGATCCTGACTGCTATCATGGCGATTCTCCTGACGGTAATTGGGGTTCATTAAGAGAGGCGGACACGTGAATCAAGCGTCCATATCCCGAGAGCGTTTTATTCGACACTTTCCCTTCTCTCGAGCGTCGCGGACCGGAAACCGACCGACGCTCCACGATTCTGCCAAAGCCACCGACCAAATAGATCAGCAAATATCTAAGGGAACTCCGTCAGGGCCTGGGACTTGTCAACCGTGCTTCGCAGTCGAAATCCGTTTCGATGCTAGCTTTCGGTGCTAGCGGCTTAAAGGGGAACGCCAAGGCTGAATTGGGAATTCTTTTCTGACGATACGAGATGTATTATAAACATAGTCGATAGGTGTATCAAAAATACATAAACATTAGTTATAAAAATGTTCATTAGGAAATGTCAACGCGTAGGTATAGAAAATCTAAATCTCCCACGACCCTATACAATGGGATAAATTTCTCTGGTCCTGATGCTCCCATATGAAGCTAGAACTTTTAGAAAAATATTCGCTCGCGTCAAAGCGTTGCCCTTTGCCATAGGTGCTAGATAAAAATTGGATTAAGCTACACGTTGAAAGAGACGTCCGGAATCTACCCTATCGCTGCAGGTGTAGGCGCCATTGAGCGACGCGTGCACCTATCGTTGCGTGTAAGTATTAGTTATTAATTTAATCGCCACCCATCGAGCAATGGACGTAGAACGGCTATAATTAGGAGGCTCGCGTGCGAATGCGGGCACGCGAATCGCGGTACGTGCTGTAATTGTCGGCTCCGCTATTTGGTGAGAAGATCAGATTCACGGTTCGTAGCAGACAATGTCGACCATGTTCCGAGCCGACGGAAATGTAAAGGGTGTGTAAATACGATTGTTTATTCCGTTAATATATTCGACGAAAACCACGGAGATGTTTTGAAACGTTCAACGCGTCAACCTGTCTTTTCAGTTCTTCAGGAAACGAGCAATTTCGCGTGCGATTCTCCGTCGAGTTAAAACTCGCTTGAAAATTATAAGAGGAGGAACTCTTAACCTGTATTTATTTTCATTCGACGCGAAAAGGAATTTTTTTTATTTTATACTTTTAAACTCGACCGCGTGAGTTACCATTTAGTTATCCTCTCGTTCGTCGTTTAGGCGAGTTCTAATTTTAAGAAGAATGTACTGTAAGTGAAACTAGACAAATAAAGGAAGAAAACAATTTTCGTCGAAAATATTTCTATCGCCGCTGACGCGTGACCAGACGTTGCAAGCCAAATTCGGGGCTTCTGATCCGTTCGCAATGCGTCCAACCTGACCTTTACCCTCCTGGAAGAGATCCTGTTGCGCGAACCCATTATTCCAGAATTTAGAAATTATTAATCGTCGAACGCTTCGAGCCTGACGATATTTACATTTTTCCTTTATTGCATACATACTTCTGAAGCGATTATTAAATTCTCGTTCAGGGTTACCGTGTCGGGTATTTCCCGATGGAAATTGTACCTTCGACCTAGAAATGCCAAGAATCCTCGTCCGACACGAAACCTATGTTTTCAAACTTTTCTATACAGTTATTATGTACGATATATAAATTGTATACAATTGTTTCATGCGTTATTCGATTTAGCGCCGCGTGGAATATTCGAGGCCATGAGAACCAGAGAGTAGCCTATCTACAAAATTATGGTAATTAGTTATGACGAGAAATTGGACCTATTTGCCAAAAATTCGTTGCAGTTCTACGCTGTCATCTGTTAACGATTGAGGAAATTAAACATGCGTCATTTTAGTTTTATAAAGCATCGTATCAGCTGTGCGCTTTAGGCCATACCTCAATTTAAAAAAGAAACGTTACTCGGGCCACTCTGGTTCTCAAGACCTCGTTTACGCATTCAATTGAAAAAAGTGTCTTTAAGGCTAGTCATTTGTTTGGTCACTATAAAAAATAGGTACAAACGAAACTTTGGTCGATGTAGTGTCAAATTGAAACAACTTCAAACGCCATGTATCGTCCAAACCTCGGTAAAACTCGATAAAAAAAAAAAAAATCTACAAATCGAAGCAATTACACGAATCGTAAGAAATGTTTGCGAGCCAATTCGAAGGCCGCGTGTGTTGCGAAATTTGACCGATCGACGAAAGTCTCGTCGCAGCCGAGGCCGCGTAGGACGACAGCTTTCACGGCGGGCCACACGACAGGGAGCGTTATTGTTCTTGCGGGACAGCTGCTCGTGCATAATTACACAAAGGTGGTCTGTCCAGAAACTGGTTCACCCACTTGCGTAACGCGAAGATGCGGAAACCGAGCCCGAAAAACCAGGAGCGGTTGCATCACTTGAACGTGCCGCGATGCTTTTATTGGAACGGTCTCGAACGTGTCCGATCTTATCGTCCTCCCCTTTCGCGTTCGATGCGGCTCGAATATTATCGAGCGACCCGCGGTGTTTTTAATTCGAAAGAGATGGGAACAGGTTTGGCAACGATGCAGATTTAGACTAATGCTCGAGTCAGGTTTGATTCTTAACCGTTAACATCGAGATCTGACCCGAATCATAGTTCAACTGGGTCCTACCTCGACTCTGACTTCGACTGATTTAAGTGCCACGGAAGTCAAGGGTCGAAGATATAATACTTCAGTGGCGTAGTGTGCTATAGGCAGGCAAGAAATCTGTGGTTTAGATACCTCGTACATCGAGTAGAGGTTCTCTTGGATGGCAAAAGTTAATTCTATTTCACTCCAGACCTCAGAAAAGGTCCAACACGCCACCGACCATGTTACGTTCCAACTCGCGTCCACTCCAATCGATCCGACCCAACGCACCGATCATTCACCTACCGATCGACTGATCTACTCGCTGGCATTTATCGAATTTTTCCTCGAGATGTACAACTTTCGCGAGAATTATCATAATTCCCATCCCTTCGCGCGAAACTCGATGAAGAAACGCGGAGAGTCGACGATCGGCGCGCGTTAGCACCGATCACCTTCGATCCGCGACTTGCATAATCGTAAACGAACTTCGTAATTAGCTCGGCTGAATTTACGGTTACGAGATCCGAGATTTTTTACGCGAAGCTGCTTAATTAATGTAACGTTAATCGCTGTCGGTTGCTCGGGAAGATAAAAACCGCCGTGGAATCGGAGGCCTCGGGCGTTTCTCTGCTCGAGTAAAGTTCAGAAAGGGGAGAGAGAGAGAGAGAAAAAAAAAGAATAGCATAAAAGCACGAGAAGTCACGCCTCGGTCGTCGATCTCGATCCACGTCCTGGCCCCGGGCTACTAGAAAGGGTTCTGTGACTTTTAACCGGGGCCTTTCAGGGATCGAAAGTAGCCCGGGACCACTTTCGAGGCCCCCAGGATATTGGAAAAAAAGCATTCGTTTGTGCAACTGTGTCTTTGTGGTTATTAAAGAGAGTAAAAATCTGCTCTTGAAGCAGCGATGCAAAATGGAGGATCCCTTACGGATTAAGGACGGTAGAGGTTGACTATTATACAATCAATCTCATAAATATTCGTACCCTCTATGTCTATTAAAGAAGTTTCCCTAAATTAAATATAAATATATGTACGAATAAGATTA